TTATTTTTTTTTCTCCTATTTATTTATTTATTTATTTTTTATCTATTCTTTTTTTCATATTTATTTATTTTTTTTTTTTTATTTATTTTTTTTTTTTTTTTTTTTTTTTTTTTTTTTTAAAAAAAAAATATTAGTAAAATTAATTATAAATTAGTTATTAAAAAACCTTATAAAAATTGTTTTCTGGGCAATGATGTTTATACGATATACAGTATTCAAATCAAGCTAGTTATTTGATCTTTATATTATTCTTGTCGTTCATCTTGCATTCACAACGATTCCCTTTTTAATTTGACTTTGCTAAAAACTCGTTTAGTAATAGGTTTATCTTTAGAACAGACAATTTTAAAGGTTTTAGAAAAATAAATAAAAAAAGCTTTTTTGTATTTATTGTTTTACACATTCTTTAATAAACCCAATCACCACACTATCCATAAAAACTAAAGTTAAAATAAAAATAAAGATTCTTGCACATGCGCAGTTGTAAAGTTGCTTTTTCAAAGTTCGAAGATTTTAAATCATAAAAATAAATATCTGTTAACAAAATATTTATCTATTATCACGAATCAATTAAAAATTATTGCTATTATTGATAAAATGCCATATTTCTTGCCGCACTTGGGCCAAATTTTATAATTGTGACCAGAATTACACATAAAGCTGGTCAGTTCGTCATACAAACCGGTGGAGCTTAAATGTACAACAAGCGTACAAGATAAACTTATTGTTGTTGATACTCGATGCTATGTGCGATTTGTGTTCAATAAAAAAATAAAATATTCTTTCCTTCAAATAAGGTAAGGATCTCACGTTACAAATTGATAGCCCTGGTTTTAATCCCCCCCCGCTTCAATGCCTATGTATCCCTTTCTAGGAAAAGACATCATAAGAATTGTTTGTGATGTGGCAGAATTGGTGCTCGAAAGAGAGAAGATAATGAAACCAAGCCATTGGAAAAAAGGGGTTAACAATCTAATATTCTTGTAACTTGCATCAAGTTATTGTTGTTCGGTCATTTCCTAGAAAGGACATGCACGTCAACTCGTTTATGCACACATTTGATCAGACTCTCCCTGATAAGGGTAACAATTGTGAACCAGTACAATAAATCATTTTCATTGGGTATCGACTTTGACTAGACAATCAAATCAGCGAAGTTTTTTTTAAAGTTAAATTATGTTTCTTTATTGAAATCAAATGCCAGAATTCTACATCGTCTTTTCCTTTTCCCTTTTTTTTTTTTTTTCAAATTACGAGGCACATCCTTTTTCAAGAAAGCAAGAGCTTTACGAAGAAATTTCCCGCAAAGAAAAAAAACCCCAGAACAAAACCTATCTCAAAAAAAAAAAATAATAATAAAATAAATCACAAAGATATAAACACGTAAATGAAATGGTGCAATACGAAACTCTATCAATAATTAATTACAATTGTTTTTCTAAGTGTGAAAAAAATATACACTTGAGTGTGGGTATGCATAGAAATGAAGCAATAAAGTCAACTAATGATAAAGAGCTGCCATCTACATGATCATCAATGTAATTTTTTTCGTTCGTTCTTTTTGTTTAAACGATATTCCTCGGTGAAGAGTATCACGAATTTCAGGAAAGGAGGTCAACAAAAAAAAAAAGAAAATATAATAACGACAAAACAACAATAATGATAATAGTAAATATGGATCTCATATAACAGCATTAGAAAAGGAAAAAAAAAGCTCGCATTGACGCGTTTACTGGACGTTAATGCGAATGCAATCATCTTGAGCACCACGCTGGGCGACGGGCATGATCACGGGTTGATGACTAAAAGTACCGGTCATTGTGCAAATTCTGTAATTACCCGCGGGCAAACCTGCACCAGTCGAACTGGCAACGGCAACAGATAATACTCCGCTGTTGGATGGATCATTTAATCCCTTGAAGAAAGCGAAGGTCTGTGGATTTGGTGGTGCATTCCCGTTGAGCTGTTGAATGGTAACGTGCTGATGACCAAATATTTGTCCTTGGGCGTTCAATGATTGAGGGAATAAATAGTATTGGGTATCCGGATTATCGAAGAAGCCAAGGTCCAGATTTTGAGTCATTGTGGTCACATTGAAAGCTTGATTGGCTGGAATGGTCTGACCATTTTGAGGACTGATGATAAGGGTGGAAACCATGTTTTGGACATTAGGAATTTGACCTTGGATCGTGGTTGAGCATGAACCACCTTTGTTCTGTTGACCGTTGGTGGGGGGCAAGTTTGAGTTTTGACAGATGTTGTTATTCAAGTCGTTTGATGGGGGAGATAGAGTGCTGCTGGCAGCTGCCGCGGCGGCGGTAGTGGTGGACGTTTGTTGATTCTGATTCTGATTTTGATTCTGATTCTGATTTTGGTTTTGATTCTGATTTTGGTTTTGATTCTGTTTTTGGTTTTGATTTTGATTTTGGTTTTGATTTTGCTGGAAATGTTGGAAACGGTTTTTTCGGAAACGACGAGCATCAGCATCAACGACCGCCATCAAAATGATTGCGAACAGAGCGATCAATACAATTGATTTTCTCATTTTTTTGTGACTGAATCGAAGAATTTTTTAAGGGATATTTTTTTCTTTTTTTTTTTTTTTTAAAAGATTACTATTATAATTGCAACCTGGCAATTATGGTAAAGATTGTGAGAGAACGGGAAGAAGAAATGATTGATCTTGTTTTAATGCCCAGCAAAAAAAAAAAGGGACAGCTAAGGAAAGACGATAAGCAGTGATCTGAGAAACTCCTTGGAACGGCTGGGCGCTCGTTCTTTTATACCTTGGGTGGACTAATAAGTAACATATGAAATTTCTCTTCGAACCAATGAGAGTGCAATTACAGTTGCGCTGTCTCGAAACGCGTTTTAAAACTCGGAATCTTGTACAAGGTAATGATTTGTGATAAATTGATAATAGTGGCACACTTAAAGTATACTTTAGTATGTGTAAGTACGTACATATGTCTTTGTATGCTATTTGAGATAAATGATGATGTGACACCAATATTTAGGCACATAAGAAAACAATAAACCTTATGACATACAAGGATGTGTGTTACATGTCGGTAAACGTGGTACAAAAAGAAATAATTAAAATCACAGAATTTAGGCTAGATCAAGATCGTCAGGCGCAGGAGGTGGTTTCGAGAGGTTAAAAAGAAAATAGCGAAGATCAGCAATGAAAATTCTTGGCAAGTCTACATAATAATTTTTTCGGTAATTAAACTTTGTTTTTAGATGGGTTTATTCCATAAATATGATAGACTGTCTGAATAAAGGATCGACTTGAGCAAGTGAACATGAAGGGTGTACCCCCAAAGAGGTATTATTGCGATAAAATTAGAGTCGCACATGTTAACATACGTCGTAGCCTTTTACCGCAAATAGGAAGTAAGAGAGAATGAAATAACGAAGAAGGATATTTGAATTTGAAAGAATCTCCTTGAAATAACGATATGGTCGTTGATTCATGGTAGTTGGCTACAACAATCTTCGAATTCTCCCTTTGTACGGTGCATAAATTCATTTGTGTACACAAATTTTGCATGATTTACAAGAAACGCACGTTAGATCACCGGAAGAAACCATACATTGCACGCGGAACGTCCTAAATAACGCTGCACGACAGTAGTCATCATAGTGTTCGAGTTTTCTACAAAATTTTCGCTTTCTACAGTATATCATAGCCAGGAACGAGAGTTCAAATTCTGCATTCATGCCTTGTGTGATGTCGTTCGTGCGCAATGCAAGAAATCAAACGGAAATCGAAAGTGCCAAGACAAACACGGGATTTAATTTAATTGAGGATAAACTGATTTGATTCGTCTCACAAAGAATCTTTTTGAATCACAGCCACTAAACTGTTCTTGAAGATGGTGGAAGTGGGGGTGTGTACGGTGTTCACAGGAACTAGCGAATGTAACGTTCCGGACAACCGCCTCGCAACCAAGTCTCGTGATGGATGGATCATTATTGCATGTCTAACTTCTCCGCAATTAGCTAGTCAAATGCCAAGATGTTTTTAATTAACTAAATCGATTACATCCATGTGCGCATGGCTTTCCGGATTTATGTCATGACCAACACTCTAACCAATATTGAAAAGAAACTGTCCCCCCTGATAATTCCAATACTATGCAAGGGCGGAAGCGGCGAGATAGGTTGTGCTATCAAATATCATTACGCTTGTAATAAATAAATCTTATTTACAAATGGTGCATAATGCTATGCTAGGTACGTATATGGTAAAATCACTCTTTGATACAAATTTACATCTCAAAATCCAGGAGTGTATCAGACGCCGAAATACGTAAGACGTAACACGCATCTACGTTCACGTGACAGATATTTCCCAAATGATGAATGAAATGGTTAGTTCTCTGCAAGTCGTCGATGAATGCGAGAATGTATGGCACGCTTCATTGTTCCGGAAATAAATAATTGATTTCGATTTTTCGACCGGCTAATATACTGAATTGAGGAAAAATGTGGAAATTGAAAAAATACAGTATACAGTATATACCTGAACCCTAATGGTGTTTACAGTATGCAGTCTAACAGCGTAGCAAATCGTAATATCCTTTCTACTTTGTATTTAGAAAAGAGTATCAATATTGGAACCTTTTTTTTTTTTGAAAGTATCTTTTCGCAAATATCTGGCAACATAAAAAGTATCTTTGAATCGTGCTAAACATTTTATTAAAAAATATATCTTTAACAATCATCGGCTTTGATGCTAGAAAAGAGCATAGAATCGATAAAGGTTTCGCATACTATATATTAATAATTTATTTATCATCATCATCATTATTATTATTATTATTTTAATTACGATAGAAATCATAATGTTTACTGAGGGGAACGCAAAGGTACAATGGCCAAATAATGTTGACAAGTTGAAATGATTCACGAAAGAGAATCAACAAATCGACTCAAGATGTTATCACCAATTTTACGGAATTACGACGTAAGAATTCAATATCTGATATTGATTTTTCGGTAAAATAAAAAATTATACGTGGAAAATACGCGGTAGTTACTTGAATTCAAATGGTCGCCACCATTTTACGTTTGTTTTACTGATAAAAGAATTTTGGCATCTGTTTTAACATTAGATCCTTGTATCTGTCGAGATAGTATTATCCTGTTGTTCAAAGTCTCGAGTATGCTTATCAGTGAAAGAAATACAGAATGTTGTGGATTATATTGAATCAGCGCATTGAAAGGTTAGGTTCATATGGAGAAACTTGGCAGAGCTGAAATCGAACAGCTCGGAGTAAGTTGATCGCAATTAGTAAGTGTAGGAAGTTTGTGCCAGATTTTTAGGTTAGGCAATTCATGTTCGCATCGCCACTAGTAGAAGTCCTCCAATATTTTATTTTTCGAGCCGAAATGCTACTGTATACAGTATATCCATAAAACACATTGTGGTCCTTTTTGTTCATTATCCATAGTTATCGTTTGGCAAAAAAATAGGCAATAATATCTGCCCCGGTATGCTACTTTAAATAATTATCTACAGTAACTATCGCTTATTAAATTTCGGAGAGAATTACGAAACCTTCGAGAGAACATTTTGTCAGTCAAAAATCTTATTACCATACTTGTCCATACTCCGGAAGCTCAGCTAATGGAGAATCACTTGGTTAAATCACCACCAGAGTATTCTTCAAAGTATGGGATAATAGATGTTTGGGTCAGTTGTGGGAGCGGATTGCAGAAGGAAAAGAGCTATCGGTGTGAATGGATGGAGTAAATGCCGACGAGTTCCAATGATTTTAACCTTTCGACCATCGCGTTTAACCGGGGAGAGTTAAAAGAATACGTTGAAAAGTTCTACCAAATAATAATAATAATAATAATAATTTTTTTTTTCTGATTTGACAATGTAACGCCTCCAAATTTAATGAACAACAGGAGAGGACTCGTTGGTTTGATATTTTTCTATCAGGACTCGCAATAGAGGCATTGGAGTGACATATTCTTGAAAGCGTGTTGATTTGTAAAGACACATTCGCATTCTAATTTCGAATTACTTATTGATGGGGAGGTAGAACCTTTGAAAATAACTTTTATACTCCATAATGCGAGCACTAGTATTTGGTCAGAACATGAAAAACGCCGACGAATATTAAGAAGTTGCATGATAAATGTAAGGAGGTCACCAAGTACATAAACAACGGAGCTATACTTGACATTCGAAGCGAATCAAGGAAGGTCGTCTATTTAAAATAAAGAGTTTGGGCGAAGATAGCGATGTATTAACAAGTCAAAAGAGAATTTCTCGAGCCCGAACCATAGAGTGAGAGTTCTTTCCCGTTACTTTGTATTATGCGTTTCATTGTCTATGTTGACTTTTCATCACTATTATTATAATAAGAATTACTATCTCAAAATCAAGAATTTCAACAACTATAATCTCCCTCATACCGTCCCTAACACATATCCTACTCCCTTTGCTATCTATCTCATCTCCTTTATCTACGTTATGGTTTTATCTTTCAAAGAGTTAATACTTATTCGAGATTTCATATTTAAAATTATCAAGATATCCAGCAATTCTAGCAACCACATAACCTTCCTATGGTGATATAGTCAGACTTGTATTAAACCAGGTTAGGTAATTTAAACTAATGATAGGAATTTTCCCTTGTAGGTCCCTTCAAGTGTATAAGCTCCTGTCAAGAGCAGAAAAAAGACATCGTTGAGTAAAATATTTAAAAAAAATACCATTAATTTTTTGTATTTATATATAATGGATATATGACTTAACAAAAATAAAAAAAACTTGTTCAATGGATCATTATCAATTAGCAACTTTTTACAGTTATTCAAGAATCAGTTTTTCTTACTTTCATATAAATATTAGTATCAGATATAAAAATATCATTGGTTACTTCTATTAAAACCTGTATAATGGACTATTATTTAAATGATCAAGAAAAAATTCAAAAAATGTTACAAGAAATAAAAAGTTATATTTCATTTACACTTGATATTTGGACATCAGTTTCAATGAAAATATTTTTAGATATAACTACCTATTCTATTGAAGAATACAAAGTATAATAATAGACTTTGTGCAGCTGTGAGGTATCCATTCAAGTAAAAATATTAAAGAAGCATTTTTATCATGTTTAAAGAAATTTATGATTTAAATAATAGTAAACTTATTTATATATTTAAAATAAATATAATATAAGACTAAAATAGTTTATTTAATTTTAAAGATATTGAAAATTACAACTGAAAATGCTACAAATAATGTTACGTTTGTTAAATTGGTAGAAGAGTGAAGTAAAACTCAGCAATATCTTTTATTATAATAGAAAATCATTTATAATGTTTTGTATATGTTATTAATTTAAGTGTACAAAAAACTTTAAATATATTAGAAGAAAATATAAAACAAGTAAACTTATATAATATATACAGTATATTGTTTTTATATTTACTAATTTATTTATATATAGTTATGAAAATTGGTTGTAAAAATATAATTATCACCTCACCAACTGGAAAAATTAAAGGATGCTTGTAAAAATCAATAAATAAAAAGTTTAAAACCTATTTTAGAAAATTCAGTGAAATTTAATATACAGTATAACATAATTGTACATGCTATACAACTAAAAACAGTATATTTATCTCACATTATTTAATATAATTTAAACTGTTTACTTATATTTATAGACAATTGAATACCTTATAATATCAAGTCAAGAATTAATAAACCATATATTTATAGATAATAATTAGAATATATTTGAACAAATAACAAAATTTCTTGAGTATTTTCATGAAGCAACTACAATAGTATTAGTAGTAACATATTCAATACTTTCTATTACAATTCTATTATATAATATTTTAATTAACTATTTGGAAGACATCATCAACAATAATAGAATTAATTCAAATATTAAAAAAACAGCAAAAATATGTTGGGATAAAATTTTAGAATATTATAACAAAACAAATAAAATTTATACACTAACAGTTGTTTTAGATCCATGATTTAAAATCAAATATTTTGTTGAAAATGGCTGAAAAAATTTAATTGAAGAGATAAAAAAAAAGTAAATATATTTATTTTATTTTTTTTTTTTTTAAACCTGTAGTTAGACCAGTACTGTATATTTATTAATCATTAAGAAAACTAATAAAGATACATAGGACAATTGCATTATGGCTAAACTAAAATATTTATATTAACACACTCGTCAATGACTTTCAATTCTCAGAAGAGCTTTAGCCTCTAAGTGCAATCTTGGGAACAATATTTTGCTCCAGACCAAGTTTTGAATGAAGATCCTCCTAACTTGCCTATCATTGCCAGCAGGTTGTCACTACTTATTATTCTCCAAGAAACTGAATTCGAGAATCTACAAAAAGAAAAAGAAAAAAGAAAAAGAAAAGGGTATATTTAAAATGTGCAAATGCACTACATGAAAATGAAAAAATAAAAAGAAAATTAAAATGCTTTATGTCCTACAAAGGACCTCTACTAAAAACCTCTTCTCATTAAGAGTCAACCCTTCTGGGATATTCTTTTTCTTTTTAACCATCTGAAAAACTTATCCATCTATACTCTTGATTATTTTCTTGTTACTATCTGAGGTACTTATTGACTATTCAGGTCCAATGTCTTGCTCAACACTTTCTTTCTTTTAATCTTAATTTTGTATTCACCTGTGCAGAAGAAGATGACTAATGGTAGATCCCAGGTTCTTATGTGGCTTTTCAGTCTTGTTAAGTAATACTTGATATCTTCCAGCAGCCATGCCTAGTTAAAGAAATTTTACTATTGTTTATCATAATTGCAATATCATTACACAACGTCTGAGGAAATGCATTCTCAATTCTAGAGAAGAGCAGTGTTTTACATTCCTCTGCTTTTTGGTCTTACAGCCTGACCAGGATAAGAAAATAACCTCCTTCATGTACTTTACCTAACTAGGATGATAAGAA